CTAAACACTATAGAGACGATTTTCCAAGAGACTTTTCTTCCCAAGTTCATTGGTAAGTGACTTTAATCTATTTCTTTTCAATTACCCATTACATTTCATGAGATTTCAACTTCAAATATTTGATTTCCATGGTAGAAATTAGGGATTTGGGTAGAGTTGAGGGTTTTTGTTAAATTGCGATTTAGATCTCGAATTGAGGCCGGATTTCGAAACAAATCACATTATTGGGCTCGAGGTGAATGAGTAATCGGATTTTTGTCCAAATTCGGGTTTTGACCAAACGAGCCCGAGGTTGACTTTTAAAAAATGATCAAAATTGAACCTCTTTCATTTGTGGGTAATTTCTAAAGCTTATTTTGTATCATTTGGTCAATAATTTGCTAGATAGTATTAGTTTGGAGGCTTGTTCAAAAGACAAGGTCGTGGTTGATTGATTGCTTGAGTTACAGAGTGAGGACAGTGTTGGGTCTAACCTTGATTTAAGGGAATTAGGAACCTGAACTACATATTATGTGAATTATGTGGGAAAGGCGTATATGTGCGGTGAAGAGTGTATATGCGCCACTATGATACTTGCTTCCATGTTTTTGTTACTTTATTATATATCTTATTTCATACCTTAATTGCTACTTGCTTTATCGATTTCTTTGCCAAAATTGTTATTTGTCATTTTGCTATTCTTGTATTAAACTCTCCATTCCTTCCATGATTTCATGCTTATTTGCTAATTGCTTTACTTGTATATCTAAATTGTCATATGTCCTTCTTGCCTCATAGTTTTGTAGTATTTGATGTCTTCTATATGTGGTCTCACTTGTATGTGTTGTCTATTTGATAGATACCGATGAGTCGGTAAGGTTGAGTCATTCGAGTTGTTAGAGATTCTTTGATTATTATGTGATTCTACATTGCCTCATACATTTACTCTTTTGACGTAGAAATTCTTGCAAATTTTGATTGTTGAATTGCTATAGTTGATTAAAAATACTTGGGGAGCGAGTTGCACGCCACAACGAAAATTGAAAGATAATGAATTGAAATAGTAGAATAAGGATAGATTATAATATTGATAAATGGTAAAGTGGGGTCGGATTTTACGCAGCAAAGGATGGTATATGTGGTACTTGACATTAACACATGACGATATGGTGGGATCGGGCTGCGTGCCGCAATGGATTGTGTATGTTGTACTTGTTATTGTTGAGTTGGTCTCGACATTTTTATATGAGATTATGAAACTTATTATTCTGGGCTTTCTGATAGTGAGGTTGGAGTTCATTTTCATGAGTTAATTGCTTTACTTCCATTTCCAATTTCTTTTCCTGTTATTTTTTTTTGTTTTATTATTATTACTGCGTACATGTTATTGTAAGTGATCCGCTTAGCCTCGTCACTACTTCATCGAGGTTAGGCTCGACACTTATACAGTACATAAGGTCGGTTATACTCATACTATACTATGCACTTCTTGTGCAGATACTGGAGTTGGTCCCGACATCATTCAGTGAGGTTCCCCGGATCTAGCTTCTGGCGGAGACTTGAGATATAGTTGCACGGCATTCGCAGCCCTGAAGTCCCCTTCTATGTCACCATTACTGTTTATTTTGATTAGAATAGTTATATTTTATTCAGACTATTATCTATAGTATTCTAGATGCTCATGTATTCGTGACTCCAGTTTCTAGGTTATATTTGGATTACGTCGTTCAGTAGCCTATCACATTATTTCAGATTATATAGTTGTTATTGTTATAATGTGATTGAAATTGTTAAAAACTAGCTAATAAATATAGCTAACATTGACTTTCCTAGAAAGTGAAATGTTAAGCGCCATCGCGATCTGAGGTTAAAATTGTGGGTCGTGACAGAATAGCATTTAACCCAAAAATCACTTAACATTATTTAAATCTAGTTTTTGTAGGAGATAGTAATTAAAATATACTATCTTTGGCTAGCGAGCATCAAATCCTTGTTGTGTTTTGCGCTCGCCCCCTTCCCCCTTCACACACACACATATACACACACACTATGAATTTAACTTATGTATAGGTGTAGCTAGGGCTGTTCATGGATCAGGTCGGATTAGATTTAGCACATTTCAAATTTCAAATTCTACAAAATGCAATTCGAATCCGATCCGAATTAATATCGAATCAGATTTTAAAGTTTGGATCGGATAAATATGTCCGATTTTCGGATCAGATCATACGTATTATTAAGGCTATTGCTAATCTAATCGGCTAATGCATCTACCTTATCTGCTTCTTTTGTATTATGTGCTAATACAAATATCTTGTTGCTTTTCATCCCTTTTATCAGTATTGCATCTCTAAGAAAATATTTCTCTAGAGGTTCGAGTTGTTATGCCTCTAAGTTGCAAAACTCATACTTATATTTTCTTTGTAGAAGAGGCAATATAGCAAGAAAAATTCATGTTTCTGCAATTATGAGAGATCTATGATGCCAATGTAGCAAAATGTAGCATTGTAAAGGTAATAACTTGGAGGAAGATGTAAAGGAAATACTGACTATCCGAAATTAAAGTTTAGTATTTATGCATGCCCTAATAATTTCAGATTTCGGATTGGGTTAAAATTAATATACCAATCCGAATCCAATCCGGGATATCTGAAATTTTAATAAAGATAATCCGAAATCCAATCCAAATATTTGAAATTCGAAATTGAGTGGATCGGTTCGGATTTTAAATATCCGATCCAAATGCACCTCCCTAGTTGTAGCAGATAATATATAGTATCTTTTAAGTATATATTTTTTTTCCAATACCTTTTATGTGAGATCATTTGTAATTATTTTTTAGATGACTTGGTAGTGTAAAAATTTAGTTTACACTTATAATATATGAAAATTAAAATCTATAAAAATACATATGTTAGTTCAAAATTTAGATTAAAGCAGTTAACTTCATTACTTCCTTACTTGGAGATATTTTCGTACATTTGGTGGTTAGCTAACTCTGACAACCGACAATTTAATTAGTTGCCAACAACTATTAAATATAACTTTCCTTGAAAGAATATAGTACCTAATAAATCTGATAATCTGAAAGATATTAAAGGAATTTCAAAAGGGAATCTATCAATATTACACAGTTATTGTAATTATTGCACGGTTAGACTTGCGGTATTAGTCATTGTCTAAACGAATAATTGCACGGATAAGTAATTTAACTATAGATTCTGTAGTATTTATAAATAGAGTCAAACCCCTCTTGTGTTTAAGAGGTTATTGGTTTCATCTTTTTCAGGGCATTAGTACTAATCTCTGTTGCTTTTAAACAGATTTAGTTGTACTTATATCTCAGTCTTCAGGTAATTATATCTCAATCTGAATACAAAGATCATATATTAAATTAAAATATGTTTTAATCTTCTACACTTTCTAATTTCAACATGTTACTCTTTTTATTGCAGGAAATTAAAGGAGAGGTACATATATATAGGAAGAATTCTGCCGCTGTGATGGTAAGTTAATTTCTACGAATTATTCATGTCACTAAATGAAATTACTTGATTTATTTCCTTAACCCTTTAATGTTATTTAGTTGAAACACAAGGATTTTTTTAAAAAAACTAAGCATATATTGTACATTCCTCGTATGAACAATTTAATAAGTAATTCTTAGATGGGGAAAGTTTTATTATTTTATGAGCAGAAAGAAACGTGTGGATTACTAATTTATTAATCCGCACAAGAAAACAAGCATAGTTAATGTACGTTTCATGAGTTCAAAGGATGAGTTGTAATAAGACTAATTCTTTTCTTTTGAGAATAGATATACATTATCCAATTCTTCTCCTTTTCCTTTTTTTTTTTGAAATTTTTGTCTATGTTTTACCGGCTTTTAATTTTGGGGGAATCTAACTTCTCGATCCTATTCCTTTTTTTTTATGTTTCCTCCGATTATTTACTGGCTTTAAATTAATTGAATTTTAACTAACGATTTAATATGTGTTTTGTGGTATTTAGTTCTATTTAACTCTAATAATTAATTAAAATAACATTCCAAACAATTTATCATTGACTACTAAGTAGGTGTTTGGACATAAAAGCTGTTATTTTTGAAAGAAAGAAAAAAGAGGAGAAGTATTTAGAGTTAAGTTGAAAAATAATATTTTAATTTTAAATTTTTGTTTGGACATACATTTTCCTTGAAAAAATATTGCGGTGGGAAAAAAATTCTGAAAAAATTTGGTTTTGAAAAACTCAACACATTTTTTTCAAAAAAAAAAATCGAAAAAAAGGAAAAAAAATTGTATTGACAAATGGGACATAAGTATAAGTTAATGACATTGTCCCACTTCAGCAGAACCTACGTAAGAATAGTTAACCACGACAAATTCTCTATCCCTACAAGAATGGAGCGATCGAGAATTTAAAAGAGAAAATTACGGCAAGATGAATTGTTTATTATTATGATAGGTGAGAAGTAGAAATGTAGCAATATACCTAAGTGAGGCATCTTAGTTGATTCCGGTAGACGTGAACCTTTCTTCTACATGACCTAATTAATTTGATAACCGTCTATTTTCATTGTACGAAAATGACCCTTCTTAAACATTTTAACATCCAAAAATCAACAGCTCCATCATCCCTCTCTTAAAGACTTTTCATATTACTAAGGTTAATTATTAAATATTATTTTTAATACTACTAATAATTTACGTAAACATAATTATGACATACTTTATTACACAATCATGCCACACAACTTAAGCTCTATCTGTTTTAACTTCTTTGTAATTTTCACATTCTCTTAACAAACTTTCCACCAAAACGACGAAAACAGTTGCTCGCTTTGTTTTAAGCTTTTACCTAGTCCCCTCTTCTCTACCCCCACAGGATTAGCTGACGGCGACGTCAGAAATTCCGTTACTCAACTAAACGATTCCCGATCTCATTTAACGGCTGTTAAAAACTCAGGACCACAGAAATGACAGCACTACTCATCAGCCAATAATAAGAACCACAATCCGACGAAATTTGCTCTCATCCTCACCCTCTTTTTCTGTTTCTCTATCTCTCTTCTCTGCAAAAGAAGGTCTGCTCAGTGAGTACTTTAATTTAAGGGAAAGGAAATTTCTGAAATTCTTGTTCAGAGCTTCTGTTATAGAATTGAAGATAAAGATATTTCATTATTTTTGTGTACGATCGAGGAGGGTCAGCGAGCTCAAATACTAATAATTGAGTTCGAAATTTAATATTTAGCTAATTCGCATATATAGAATCTAGGCTATTGTTATTGAATAAAGCCTACATCTATATATGGTATATAAGTGAGAAGAATTGATGGGAAGGTATTTGAGGAAGTGCAAGGGAATTGGAAAGGTGCCAATTATGGAGGTGTCAGATGATGTAGATTTGGACGTGCCGACTACGACGACGAAAAAAAGGAAGATATCAAGTGATGGAGATGTGAAGCTCATATCTCCTGCTCTACTTCGCTGCCGAAGTCACACCGGAGTCGGAGATACGCCGGCCGGAAATTTGGTTTCTCCGTCGGGTTCGGTCAATTTAAAGGAGAATGATGATGATTCTAACTTAGATCACGATTTAGCGTCTTGTTGTTCAAGGAATGGATCAACGGAGGTAACAAAGAGCAACGCGAAATCCCTAGATCTGAATGTACGACGCTTCTGAGTATAACTTACTTAGAATTCAATTTTCTCCTATATGGATATATATGTGTGAATATATATAGTATATATAAGTGTATTTTGCATTTAAAATCAGGATATGTTGAATATATGTGAAACTTGAATTTTGAATCTTCTGTAATGCAGGAGAACAATGTGGTAGCGTCTGCAGAAAGGTAAATAGTGTTATTATTAAATTTGTTTTTTCCAATTCAAAATTCAAAAAAAAAAAATACTGTAATTTATTTCAACATTTATACGATTACCGGTATTTAATTTAAAACGTACTTTTTGCAGTAAAGAGGCGAAATTATCAAGCGAGCGTGAACGAACGCCGGAGAAAATGCCGTCTGAAAAAGAGATTGAAGATTTTTTTGCAGTTCGCCAGAAAGCTATATTTAAACGATTTAGAGAAAAGTACATTTCCCTCTCTCTTTTCTGGCCTTTTGTTTTTGTTTCCTTTTATGTTTTTTCCTCTGGCTTTTGTTAACTTTCAACAATATTTTTCCAAATTGACAAAAGAAAAAAAAAATTCAAACTATTCAATTTTTTTTTTAATTACGTAATTATGAAGATCATAATGAATGTGTGTAATTGGTAAAGGTACAACTTCGACTTTGAGAAGGAGGAGCCATTGGAAGGTCGCTACGAATGGGTTCGAATAGGAAGTTGAAGACTGACCACAACAGTATCAGTTGCTGCTTCTTTATTTATTTTTGCTGGTACTACACCAATACCTTGTTTAGGTGTTCATGCTTTTCTTTCCTAAATACTAATAATTATTCTTTTGTCTTTTTTAATTGAGGACTAGGATTTTGGAGATGAACAATTAATATGGATTAACAATGTAGGCAGCTCGCATCCAGCTTTCTTCGTCTTCAATTCATATATATTAGTATTAATTTACTAATTTTCTCCGCCATAAAATTATATTTATTTAAATGAAGCGATACTTAATCCTCTAACTCTGATCCAGTGACTATTTTATCTTTTTATTTTTGTCCAAAATAAGTGTCCATTTACATAATCAAGAAGGAATTAATTTTATTTTTTTCAAAATTTGCACTTATTTACATATTTTAATGTGTCAAGATAACAATTAATTAAGTTTAATTTAGTAAATACATTTTTTTTTCTTTAGGAGTTTGTATTTTCTTAATGCCAAAGGTAAAATGGTCATTTATTATAGACCGGACGGAGTAATATATAGGACTAGAAGCCACTAAGTTCTCCAAGCAGTAGAAGAGATACCATATGAGATGGAAGTGAAAGTGAGAGTGACAGCAACAAATAAACAATATGTAGAAACAGCGCCAACAGAGCTTGCCGTATAAGTTACGACACCTATTCAAAGAACGGGACGCCCCCATGTGGATATGAGTTTTCTGGTCCCTTCACCTATACTCATTTTCATCACAAAGTAAAAGATGTACTTGCTCAATTGGGAATTATTATTACCACATTTTCATCACAAAGTAAAATATGTACTTATACAATGTAGTTGTTTTATGTACGAAAGCCAATTGGCGATGCAGTTTTCTTGCCCAATTGGATAGGACTAAGGACATATGAATGAGGTGTAGTGCAAGAATTGTAAAATTAGTATATAGACTCTGAAAATTACACTAATTACAGTTATTTTATTTTATTCTTTTAACTTTTCTGGGTGTGTCATTGTGTATTTAGAAGCATGAAACGATGTTTTCTTTTTTCTCTTTGGCATGATGCGCCGGATGTGATTAGCTTAGTAATGATGACAACTTATTTAATTTATCGAATAAATAGGAATTACGTAGTTGAAAAGTCAAGATTAGCTAGCTGAGAGATCATACTACTAAAGATTAATCTCTGTAATCTGTGAGTTGGGATCCCAATAAAGGAAAGCAATATAACAGCATTAATAACTGTTTCGTTAAATTCTTGGGATTAATCACCCCGAAAAGGCATAGAGCTGCTTTCGGAAACAATCTCTCTACTCCTTCGGATAGGGGTAAGATCTGCGTACCCACTATCCTCCTAGACATCACTAATGAGATTTTCCTGGGCCGTTGTTATTGTATTTAATAGACTTTTGGCCATGGGCGGTCCTTCCATAAAGCAAGTAAATCAATCGCTATGTATATTTGTGGGGGCCTTATTTTTTGTTACACCTAATAGACTATGTATAAGTTTAAAAAAGAGTTTTGTAAAGTGAACAAGTTTGATTTCTTTCTTTAACAAATACAAAGAAGAAGAATTTGCAACTGCTATGATTTCTACCAAGGAAATTGCACTTGAAAAGGAATATCGAACCTGAATTACGTAAGAAACATGCGATATATAAGAAGTAACAATTTGATGCGAATGTTGATAATGAAATCTCAAAATCTTTCGAAGTGCTCTTTAGAGTTGATTACTTTTATACATAATAGACAAGACTATTTTCACTTCAAAATAGATTTTGAACAATTCGAAGCATATGAAAATATTTTTAGTTTTCTATTTGACAGTAGAAACTAAGATCGCTAGATGTTGAAAATTTTAAAAAATATTGCGTTAATCTTGAATATTCCTTAAAGCATAATAATCAATTAGATATTGATGGTTTAGATATATTTTCTGAACTAAAAGTATTAAGAAAAATAGTACAATTAGAAGAAAAAAGTTTAATTGATATACTTAATCAAATAAAAAGATTTATTTTTTTTCTAAACGTCTAAATTACTTATGGAATAATGTCCATAACTCATGTTACCGTTGCTTCAACGGAAAGAAGTTTTCAAAATTAAAATTGAATTTTTTTTACCTAAGAATAACAATGTCACAAGAAAGATTGAATGGATTAACTATATTGTCAATTGAGAAATACTTATTAGGAGTTATTGATTATAAGACAATTATTAATAATTTTGTATCTAAGAAAAACTAACAAAAATAGACTTCAAATAAATAATAAAAAAAATTAAAAAATTAAGGCCACTTATAAAGTTTGGCTTTAGGCCACAAAATTTGTCGGGCCGCCCCTGCTTTTTGCCGTCTAATATAAAAGAGCTCAACTTTTGTAGTCATGAAGTTAAGATGAACTACAACATGAGGTAAATTTTTGATATTCTAAAATTGTATTTCCTCCGTGCAATTTGCTTGTTCATGTTTTAAGAAGCAATTAATAAAATAATAATTTTATTATATTACCTATAATTATAATATGTTGTGCAATTTATTGAAAATTATTAGTATAAGAGTAAAATAAGTACAGATATAAAGTATTTCTTGGTTTTTCAAACTGGACCTGTAAAAGTGATAGTACATTTTTTTAGTATACTACCCGCTCCGATTCACAATAAATGTCCAATTTGCCTTTTTATTTTGGTTCAAAAAAAGTGTCCAATTATGTAATCAAGAAAGAATTCAATTTGTTTTTACAAAATAATCCCTATGTACATATTCCTAAAAAGTTTTCTTACTCCTCACGTTAAATGTTTAATTAAGAGTAGTTTAGCCATAGTAGATATCTTTGTATAGAATTTAGTATTTTTTAATGGGCGTGCTAAAAGTAAATTGGACACTTATTGTGAACAAACAAAAATTGACAAAGGGAGTAATAAATAACCTGCTATATTTAGCAAAAATTGTTAATGGGAAAAAAAATATTTTAAATAATTCAATGCCAATAGTGGTTGCCATCATTTACTACGCTAGCATTCTTCTTGGATCTGGTGAATATTGCTAGACCTTTCTTGTTTAGGGTACTGTCCTACTTCTACTTTGAGTAGCTGAGAATGAATTTTCAATACCTTAGGTATTCCTAAATAGGTGTATTAATTATCAGACTGGATTAAAGCCTGAGACTCGTTATTAATGAACCTCTCTGGAGATGTGCCCCTTAATTCAGTTATTAAAAAAGCTTCAGCTATATTTATTATGAGTACTATTATTCATACCAAAAATGGGAATGAAATGCTGCTCCTTCTGGTGTTCATTTTTGGCCCTGCTATCAACTGGAGTATCTCATTAATTAGTTGGATTCTCCAAATAATTTAACTGTCACAACTTTCCTATTTAATCCGAACTAAAAAATGTGTATGCTTTGAAACTGAAGCAGGTATTCCTTTTGGGAATTCATCTTTTCTATGCTATGCAACAATAAAATCACTAATCTCCTTGAATTTATTAAGTTTACCCTCACATAACAGGAAATAAATCACCATCTAAGAAACAAAGGCAGTAGGACTGTGTTGACCAATAAGCATTTCTGGAACTGGCAAAGTTGCAACAACATTTTGGGCTATACATGGAACAAGTGTCCCATCACCAGTTGAGCTTTAGCCCACATATTTTAACCAAATACTACATTTGCACCAAAAAAATGTCATAGAGACCTTGGGAAAACCCATCTTGAAACAATAGATAGAAATATCCCTAGGTACTTTTCCCATCTGTTTAAACCTTAGTGGACAAAATTGCACGTCAATTATGTTGATGGGAGGTAACAGACACTCGCTGGAATAGTAGTCTAGCTAGAGGAAGTGTCAAAGTAAACCAGCACAGTTCTTGTACTTGGGAGAGCATCAATATACAGCATGAAAAACAATCTAGGGAGGAGCAGAAGAATGCAACTTTTATAATTACTTTCAATTTGCCTTTTCTGATATTTGAAGAATTAACAAGATTACATACAATAATCACCTTTCTGTATTAATCAACAGCTGCATAAGTAAGAGATTCAAGCATTGTAGATTTCCCTTAGTACTACTAAAACCTTGTTTGCTACTTCTTGACCAAAAAGCCTAGGGAAGCTTGATTCAAGATCTATCTCAATTGTCTTATTCTTAATTATTTTATCCCTCTTTGCCAAAGCTGTACTTTCATCCTCTGTCAATTTTCTCTCAGCACAAGCACACAGATCCAACCATGTCTCCAACATTACCTTAGCAACAGGACTTATGTGGTCCTGAATAATCTCATCAATGCGAACGGCCTGAGAAGCTTCGGTTTCTATGGAAACCAAGATAGCTGACGGAGAGACAACAGCTCGGATATATAGAGATGAAGAGAAGTAAGGCTTCACCTCAGGTAGCTTCTCGAGAAGTTGTCTCTGTTCGTCTAATTGTGTTTCCTCGTAAAAGGTTTTAAGGTAATCAGGATGTTGGACGAGGTCCTTTCGTGGAGGTAGATCAAGAATGAGGATGAGAGATGTTGGACTGCTGCGGATGACTTCGATTAAGAAGTTTGGTGCATCAGTTGAAGGTCTCAAATAGGCGGAGAGGCTTGTAATGTTCAAGGCTCCACCTGTGGGCAAGTTGCAGTGAACCCAACTACCCAGTATGAAATCAACCTGTCACACATTAGAAAGGCAAAATGTTGACTTCGCATGTATTCCTGATGCTAGTAAAAAGCAACAAGATTCATGGAGCTTGAAGGAAAAAGCAAGAAGCGAAGCGCACAATTTGAAAAATTCCAAACGTATATGAATTTAAGGCTTTAAGAATATGCAATTATAATAACTAATTTCATCATCTCATATACAATAAGGCCTATATTAATCTACTCGTCAAAGTTGAGATTCCCAAGAACCTATTGTTTCTTGTTTGGATCATATTGCCTTCACTTTTTTAAACCCCACACTCCCCTGAAGCGCATTTCTTGACTGAAGCAATAACCCCCCCGCTTCGAATCGCTTCAAGCGACGAAGCAATAGCTTTTAATAAACACATCAAGCGATGAAGCGAAAGCTTTTAATAAACATCGGATGCTAGAATGACAAGAACTGCTTTATTAGACGATTTTTCAACTTGTGTAAAAGTTGAAATCATTTACTGCATGTTCCCAAAAGTATCTTATATAAAACACGTGTTAGAAATAGAATATCAAATCACAAAGAGAAACAAGACCTAACGAAGAACTGTAGAGCAGTCAATGAAACTATTGATTAAGCTGATAAATGACGGAATAAGAACTTATGAGTAGACACCAGATCAAAATTCAGGAATGAATAAGTACAGGAAGATCAGATTGTGGTCAAAGTTACTTCCTTAAGCCTTAAGTGGAACTAACTCGATGCTCTATAAGACTTCCTGTTTACATTTTCCACCTTGCTCTTGCACTCCTGATGTATACTTCAATAAGAATATATCAAGTAAAAGCAACTCTACACCAGCACTGAAGACTACAAACTATGCAATTGGATAATTCTGAAACGAAGTCCAGCCAGGATAGTGTCCGCACCAAGTATAACCGTATTGATTATATCAATTTTGAGGGTACTAATAACCCATCGTAGTACAAATTTTAGAGCTAGAAGGGTCTTTTTTCATCTGCACACATAGGGGCATCTCCAATACAAGTTGAACCTTAAACTGTTCCTATTTAGTGGTAAGCAGAAAATTGCTTGAATTCACCATAATCACAGAGGAACGCTGCAAAATTCAACGAACACCTTATGTAACTTTGTAGAGGAATAACCAATCCCAAGTTCAAATGGAGACAAAATCCCTACTTATGTTCAATATGATCCTCGTATATAGATAAAGGCATGGAGATAACAAAATTACATTTGCTGCTCTTCTTAAACTTGCACTTGGCTTTTCAATTTGTGTTCTTACTCCTAAATGGCTGAAATTAAATTAGCATAATGAATAAGAAAGCTCACACTTACGTAAGCACAATTTGGCATGGTTTTAAATCCTCTTAATCAAGCCAAACCAACTAAAGTTAGATGATTAGAGTTCGGATTTATCAATCATTATTGTAATAAATCTCAAATGCACAACATCATGTGGAAAATATAATAAAGCAAAGAGGTCCAGAAGATTCTCTTTTCTCTTTGTTATCTTCACCATGTAAATTTAACAGTGAAGGAGAGGAGGATTGGTTCTCACATAGGAGCCGTGCTGCATTCTATTGGAAGCAACATCATGATCAAGGGAAATGCTGAGAAGAACAATTTATTCAATAAAGTCTCAAGTCCCAACATCCTCCAAAAAGGAAAGGACCAATTCCGTGGATGCTGTTCAAGTTGAATTTGCTTATTGTCCTTCCAAGATATCCTCCAACAACATTTATAAGTATAGTTAAATTAATACCAAAATCCACACTTAGTCTCTACAAAAAGAATAGTGAATGTAATATTCATCATCCCTTGTAAAAAGCTCACTTGGTGATTAATACAAATTTTAGTTACCAACAACTACAACAAATCCAGTGTAATCCCACAAACACTACGCAGACCTTACCCTCAACTTGTAAAGACAGAGAGGCTGTTTCCGGCAGACCCTCGGCTCAAGGAACAGTGAAAATAAAGCACAAACTTTAGTTGCCAAAAAAAAAAATGCAATATTCCATCTCTTCCATTTTACATAGTGAATGGGTCAAAATTAGATCAGAGAAATTCGGCAAGCGGAGACGTAAGGCCGAGGTCGGACAATCATCAATAAAGCCAAGGCCGGACAAGCCGAGGTCGGACAATCATCAATAAGGCCGAGGTAGGACAGGCCAAGGTTGGACAAGCCGAGGTCGGGCAGTGATGAAACTAGTCTGCTGTGGAATCCTCAAAAGGAATATTCTACTGAATACTCCCTCTAATTGTACCTTTTCTTTTAGGGTTTTTCTAGGAATACCCCTTATAAATAGGAAGGGAGGACTTCCCAAGGGGGCTCTCGGGCTCTTTCCTTTTCCCTCTCTCTAGAATATATGTAAACACATCTCTCTAAAGAGATAGGAGGATCTATGATCCCAGACCTTCATCAGATCCAACAAGGGTCCTAAGGTTCTTGTATTTGTCTATCATTCATCTTTATCAAATAAAAGAAGATCCGTC